TATTTCTTGTAGTTATTATGCATATAGAAGTACTAACAATAAGATAAAGTTATAAAATAATATTTTACGTGATATTTCATATTTTTTATGTCAATATATCAAAATAAATTATAAAATCTTTCGCGATCCACAACATCTCAACACTTACACTTAAACAACAATATAACATACATAATAAGAATTAATTCGTGTAAAAAAAGCATTCTATGATTCCAGTTATAAAAAATAATTTTCGGCTGTCCTTAATTCCTCTACTTTTAAAATAATCGATTTAATAAAACTCTCTTCTTCAAACTAACATTTTCTTATCGTATAATTTTGCTCATAAATTTTGCAAATAATTATATCAATCAATTTATACAAATCAATGTATACAGGATAAATGAAATAAATGAAATTGTAAGTTTTATTTTGTTGAAAATAAAAGAAAATAAAGAAAAAATTGAACGGTATAACGAGATATTCTCAAGATGTTCTCAATTACTCGGTTTTTTCGGTAAATACAATGATACAATAAAGATATATAAATTTACCTTTTAAAATTATGTTACATAATTCAATTATTCTAAATATTCTATTAATATTAAAATAAAATACAGGTAATTAAATTAATGTAAGATAAAAAGAGAATTACTATATAATGCATAAAGTATTTTGTTTTGACATATTTTAAAATAAAATGCAAATTATCTTGTAAAAGCTTTACTTTTTAGTAATACATTTTTTAATGACTTTATATGTATATTAATTTTATACCCGGAACAATAAAATGAATTAAACAATATAATTAAACAATAAAAAATACATTATTGTATTTAATAAAAAATATAAACTTTAAGATATAATAATAAAATTACATGTTTTTGTAATACGCATAGTAAATAAAAATTTTATATTTTATTTAAAAATATACAAAAGTTATAAGTTTTTTGTAACTTTACTGTAATATAAAAAATATTAAGACTTGACTTTTTACTAATAGATATTTATATTTATTAATCTAACAATTCCCTGGTAGAAATATATGCAATTTTCATAGAGTTACTGTCTAGAATTACTATATTCTTATTAGAATAACAGTACTACGTCAGAAATGGACAAAAATTTGATAGAATTTTATTCACAAAATATGAAATATTACTAAGGAAAAAAACTGCCAATTTTATAAACAGCAGGCTTGCTTATTAATCATTGAAATTCATTTATTGTCTCGTTTTTGTTCAGTAAGTGAGTTCAGATTTTGCACATCCTTTGTGTGCAGTAACTGGCGTGTGCAGGCAAAGCGTTACATCTTGATTGGCAAAGAGTTTTACTTCTCAGTTATTAGAGAGAAGTTAATATAACTGTCTAATAACTACTCAAAAAATGTATGATATTTCTACAGGATACTACATACATATATATAAAAAGAATGTATAATTTACTTAAAAAAAGAGGTGCAATCGCACTTTTATACCTTTGCATTTATATATATATATATATATATATATATTT